CAATATTTTATTAAACAATTATACATTTTAAAATAATCAAATTCAATTATAGATTAGAATTACTTTTCAGTGCGTTAGAAACACTTATATCTCTTAAAACAAAATTTAGAAACAGTTTTCCTTTTATTCAGTAAACACGTAATTATTATATTTAAATAATATTTTTCCTTCAGATTAGGTTTAGTCACGTAACAAGTTCTGTAACCCATTAGTGCAATGGTAGCTATAACAATAGTGGTGTGTTTAGTACAAGATAAACTTAAGGAGCCCATCTCGGATTTTGAATTCATAGCTTTACTTCTCCTGGTCTGGATACCACCCAATGCAAGTGTGCAGTCTGTCCACCTATTTAACCCATAGCTAGTGGAATATGCCTTTTGAAAGTTTTCACAACGAGCTAAGTTGTTTCCTTCTAACATATTATTGTTTGAAGATACCGTTTTGATTACAGATATTGACCAAAACAAAACAGAACGTTGTTTTTTTTCTTTCAATAGTTAAGTAGTTTACAATCAAGATGTTTATTTTTAAACATAGTATTCCCAATTTCCGGTAGTGACTTTGATTATATCTTCGGCTTGGTAAATAGTGATCTCTTCCCAAAAAGAAATAATTCAAACGTATTATGAGTCTGATGAAGATATTGAGAAATGATTGTACTGTTATTAAAAAGAAATTGTGACGTTTAAAATATAGAATCTATTTATTTGTATCTCGATAAAAAAAACTTGCTTGAAGGCATATGTCTTATGGCTACGAAAAACCTCTACGGTACGATGTAGATTCCATTTCCGTGTATTTTGCGACCAAACAATTTAGAGTTGATTAATTTTCTTTAATTTGATAGTCAGCCTCAGATGGATTAATTTCAGACTGACATTCAAAATCTCATAAATTCTTCGATTTGTTTTGAAAAGGATTTTGACCTTATTTATCTACTGTGCCTCTATTGTAGTAATTACCAATTTGAATATATGTATTCAATATGAAAACTGAGTAAAATAATGATATTTGAGGCTAGTGTTCTTTTTTATGTTTACGTATTACTGTAACTTAACAAATACTAGTATAACCCGTCTTCGACAGGGTCTTTCATTACTGGGAATTTTTGCCGTTCGATTTGAGCAGTTTAATTTTAAAGTCAGCCCACGCGAAAAAAATATTAGTAACAGGTGAAAACTGAGGCACATCCATAAATGGTGGGGTGGTTAACAATTTGAAATGGGGGTGCCCCTGAAAAGAGAACTGTACAATAATAAAAAAGTATTATTGTAGTAATTTAAACTATTTTTATTAAAGTTTTTATGTATATATATATATATATATATATATATATATATATATATATATATATATATATATATATAGATATAGATAGATAGATAGATAGATAGATAGATTTGAAAAAAAACTAGGTAATCCGTATGAGTAAACCTAAGAAGGATAAAATCCAGAGAGCTCAATGTAAATCCAGAGAAAATAATTTAAATAAATAAAAAAATTTTTTCCATTTTTTTGTTTGGAAGTAAAGTCTGAGGATCCGCACGCAGTCCTTTTAAAAAGAGCTGTGGTGAAATAATTTATTACATGGAACCTTAAAGTGGTCTATTTTATTTATATATATATATATATATATATATATATATATATATATACAAGAACAGATAGTGAATTATAAAACGTTACTGAGAGTTATAATGGACAAGAAGTAGTGGAGAGCCATTGTCGCCAACAATTTGGACTCAAAACTGGCACTGAAGAATTATCTATCAAACAAAAAAGTCATCAAAATCGGATGAAAACTGTGGAAATGAATAAACTACATCCGATCACACACACACATACACGCACACAACCATGCATACACACACATTTTGAGAATTATAGATACAGATCACAAATAATAGGACTCAAGATAAACCTTTCCAAAACAGAAACAAAGCTCTGGATTTGGAATGAAAGAAATTATGGCACATAACCTAAATCCATGATAAACATTCAAGAAGTGGAATTAGTAAATACTAAATACTTCAGATACCTCGGCGTACGGATCAGTCATGAGAAATTTAGTACAGGATATATGCTAATTGAACTTAGAATAAACAGTACTACGAGTGGCTTCACCCAATTCCATTAACTGCTACAAGACATTAACCTGAAAACTCGAGTTATGTGCTTAACCACGTCAGGTGGAGACATTCATATGGACGTCACGGATGGTCTCAAACTCGTTCACAAATAGCGAATATGTCGGCTATGTGGAAATTTATGAAGATCATCCTCCTTCAAATATTGCGAACTGGAGCTACAGGATCACAAATAAAGAGAAATTATTTCACTTGCGGACTTTCAAGAGCAGCAACGACTAAAATGGATATCACATGAAAATCGGAGAGAAATTAATGATGTAATCAAGAAGCTGCCATTATACACAACTTCAAATAAACGTTTAGGAAAGAAGCCGCCATAAATATCGGAAAGAGCGATAACAGCTACCGGACATGAGAAATATATTTTCTAAAAAATTGTTTTAAGAGAAAGATTTGTATAAATGTTAACCGGTAGTAATATTTTCTGTTCGGTCTATAGATGTTTCTTTCTAAGCAAACGACTAATATTACTGTACTGATAAATCATCAGTTATGTCCCCTAGGAGTTATAAATAGCACTTTGTTAGACCCGTCAGTAGATGAGTAGTCAGAGTAAAATGCAATAAAGCTTTGGTATGAGTTTATTCACTGGTTCTGTTTTTACAGTTGCCATTACCTAGAATCATAGATAGTAACTACACTGCATCTCGTTTGGATGCAGTTAAGTTCTTTGTCCAAGAACTTAGAAAAGCAAAGAAGAGAGTAGAATGAAAGCCTGAAGAATTAAATCTGGGAGGTAAGAAAACTTGAGAAGAGCCGAATTAAAATTTGCTAAAAGAAAAAAAAAATATACATAGATATGTAGAGAGGAAAAGAATTGGAGACAAATATCAGGCTTGCTGTGTGTCTATCAAGAAACAAATAAGCAAAAAGTTGATGAACAAATAAGGGACAAAAGGATGTAGTACTTTCGATACGTGAAAATACTTTGTCAAAATAAGCGCCAAGTAAAGATAAGAGTGATGTTGCAATATGAAATACTTGAACGTTTTCTTTTAACATATATGGATGTAAATCACGTTTGTATGAGATTTAGATTAAAAAAAAATGGACGAATAATGCGGGATAGAAGAGCATAATAACACGGATTAAGGAAGATTATCGACATGAGATAAGAGATAATTGTATTTGTCATTTAAATGATGCAGTAGCAGTCATTCTTGCAGTTTCTTTAAGCTTAATAATATTGTGAGGTACAGGAATAGTTTAAAATCATTTTTGGGGAATTTTATAAGTATGTATGTACATTCGAATATTGTCACACATTTCCTGAATATATAATTCTAAATCAATCGACCTTCTTCGCATGGATCAGTAGTTAAAAGAAAACTTTCAATTTACTTCATTATCGGCAAGAGACATCAGTCAAAGTTAAAGGAATAAAACCTTGAAGAACTTATTCTCTCTAATCTAAATAAATAAACGATAAAATCTGTATGTTTGTCCGTGTGTTTGAAACCTGTCTAACGGGCTGCACATATACCTTTTTGAAATTATGATTAATCCATAAATTGAAATCGGCGCTTCACCTGATGCCTTAACATCCCGAATTGGGATTTGTGTCTGGATGAGGAAGAAGCAGTTAAAAATTCAAATTTTTAAATAGCTGTAAAAAAAAAAATAGTTATTTAAAAGTTTTTAATTTATACTGAATAACATAAAACTTTGTAAATTTTTAAGTTTTTGTTTTAATTTCTTTTTACAATATTTTCAGAAATTTGTTTAGTACAAAATCAGTTTTATTTCTTCAAAATGCCAAGGAGTAAGAATTAAATTGGGAGGTTTCGTGACAGTAGGTTTTGAAGTTCCGCAGAGTTTGTGATTTGAAGGACTCCACTCAGTTGAAGTTCCACGGAGTTTGTGATTTCAAGAACTCAATTTTTGGCGTGAATTGGAATTTTAGCCCAAATCGAACTTTCGGCCCAAGTCGGTCCTTTGGTCAGAATTGGACCTATCGCCTGAATCAGAAATGAAGTGAGGTTTTGAATTTCCAGTGTGAATTGAGGAATTCAAAGTTATGTATTCAAAATTATAATCGGTTTTCTAAGCTGGACCAAAGATCTCATTAGTTTTGGGCCAGATAGCTTAAAAGTCCGCACAGAGTGAGGCTTTTAATCTAGTTTATTAGATATTCTTGAAAACCTGTCCTTTATCTGGTGCCTGAACATACCACATTAGGATTTATAATCGGATTATGAGGGAACAGTTAAAGATGCAAATTTTAAATTAATTAAAAAGATGAGTGATTTAAATTTTGGATATTTATTTTTTGTTTAAAGTAAAACAATAGTTTTTTGGCTAGAGATTTATCACCCGAATCAAAGTTAAAGTCAGGTTTTGAAGTTCCATGGAGTGAACTGAGGGATTCAAAGTTATTTTTTTAAAATTATCATTGTTGTTTTCTAAGCTGGATCAGAGGTCCCTTTAATTTTGTAGCGGATATGCAATTGGCTCCCCGTGAGAGTTTACTTGAAAGAATGCACGGACAGCAGCTTTTAATCTTGGAATAAATAAATAGATAATAAAAAATATAGATAACAAATAAATAAATCAATAATAAATTTAAATTATAAATAGTTTTCAATTGAACGTTTCGGTTTTAAACTCTGAAATTTTATTTACTATTCATTTACTTATTTTTAATTTAATTTTATTTTCTCCTCAGTATGACTAAAGAGATTCGCCTATCGTCGGGTTCACCCCCCTCCCCGTCCTTTTAACAGGAGTTGAGGTTTATCACTTGTACTCTGTTTAGAACTGGTTTTCTTGTTCGTTTTAAAGTTTTTCATTCTTTTACGCTCCCAGTAGCCTCTTGCGTCTTAGTGGCATTATCCCTTGCTTATATATATA